TGGAGAAACACTCCATGTTCATGATTAGGAAGAATTAATATCGTGAAAATGGCTATACTGCCCAAAGTAATTTACAGAATCAACGCTATCCCCATCAAGCTACCATTGACTTTCTTCACAGAACTGGAAAAAACCACCATGAACTTCATATGGAACCAAAAGAGAGCCCGCATAGCCAAGTCAATTCTAAGCAAAAAGAACACAGTGGGGGGCATCACACTACCGGATTTCAAACTATACTACAAGGCTACAGTAATCAAAACAGCATGGTACTGGTACCAAAACAGAGATATAGACCAATGGAACAAAACAGAGGCACCAGAGGCAACACAACATACATACAACTATACAATCTTTGATAAACCTGACAAAAACAAGCAATGGGGCAAGGATTCCATGTTTAACAAATGGTGTTGGGAAAACTGGCTAGCCATGTGCAGAAAGCAGAAACTGGACCCCTTCCTGACACCTTACACTAAAATTAACTCCAGATGGATTAAAGACTTAAACATAAGACCTGGCACCATAAAAACCCGAGAAGGAAATCTAGGCAAAACTATCCAGGACATAGGAGTAGGCAAGGACTTCATGAACAAAACACCAAAAGCATTGGCAACAAAAGCCAAAATAGACAAATGGGACCTAATCAAACTCCACAGCTTCTGCACGGCAAAAGAAACAGTCACTAGAGTGGATCGGCAACCAACAGAATGGGAAAAAATTTTCGCAGTCTACCCATCTGACAAAGGGCTGATATCCAGAATTTACAAAGAACTCAAGCAGATGTACAGGAAAAAAACAAACAAGCCCATTCAAAAGTGGGCAAAGGATATGAACAGATACTTTACGAAAGAAGACATATATGAGGCCAACAATCATATGAAAAAATGCTCATCGTCACTGGTCATCAGAGAGATGCAAATCAAAACCACATTGAGATACCATCTCACGCCAGTTAGAATGGCGATCATTAAAAAATCTGGAGACAACAGATGCTGGAGAGGATGTGGAGAAAAAGGAACACTTTTACACTGTTGGTGGGAGTGTAAATTAGTTCAACCATTGTGGAAGACAGTGTGGCGATTCCTCAAGGCCTTAGAAATAGAAATTCCATTTGACCCAGCAATCCCATTACTGGGTATATATCCAAAAGACTATAAATCGTTCTACTATAAGGACACATGTACACGAATGTTCATTGCAGCACTGTTTACAATAGCAAAGACCTGGAATCAACCCAAATGCCCATTGATAATAGACTGGATTGGAAAAATGTGGCACATATACACCATGGAATATTATGCAGCAATCAGAAATGATGAGTTCGTGTCGTTTGTAGGGACATGGATGAATCTGGAGAACATCATCCTCAGCAAACTGACACAAGAACAGAAAATGAAACACCGCATATTCTCACTCATAGGTGGGTGATGAAAAATGAGAACACATGGACACAGAAAGGGGAGTACTAAACACTGGGGTCTATTGGGGGGAAAAGGGGAGGGCCAGTGGGAGGGGGAGGTAGGGAGGGATAGCCTGGGGAGAAATGCCAAATGTGGGTGAAGGGGAGAAGAAAAGCAAAGCACACTGCCATATGTGTACCTACGCAACTGTCTCGCATGCTCTGCTCATGTACCCGAAAACCTATAATCAAATAAAAAATAAAAAAAAAAAAAAAAAACAAATGAAAGAAAATTAAATACCCAGGAAATTGAGGGGAGAGCACATCTATAATTTAGGAAGGAGGTAATCTAATCCCCCTATACCAAGATAGTTCACACAGCTCTTTAGTATGTCTTAGCCCTATTTAACCATAATTATCAGTCAATTACAGAAAAGGAAGGAAGGAAGGAAGGAAGGAAGAAGAAAGGGAAAGAAAAATCTAGTTGGACATGGTAATGTGTGCTTACAGTCCCAGCTACTCAAGAAGCTAAGGAGGAACGGCTGCATGAGGCCAGGAAGTCTAAACCAGCCTGGGCAACATAGCAAGACTTGCCTCTTAAAAAAATTGTCCTTGAAAATCTCTAAGGAAGCTGGCATGGTGGATCACGCATGTAATCTCGGCACTTTGGAAGGCTGAGGCAGGAGGATTGCTTGAACCCAGAAGTTCGAGGCTGCTGTGAGCTATGCTCCCACCACTGCACTCCAGTGTGGGCAACACTGCAATTAGACTCTGTCTCTAAAAAATAGAAAACAAATTTAAAAAATCAAAATTAGGATAAGGGAGATAGGAAGAGAGAGAACCTATCGCTTTGATCCAAACAACTTTAAAAAAATAATAATAATAATAGATACGAGCCCTGGCTATGTCGCCCAGGCTGATCTTGAACTCCTAGGCACAAGCGATCCTCCCACTTTGGCTTCCTGGAGTGCTGGGATTACAGTCAAGAGCCACTGCACCGGACTCCAATTTAGCAGAGCATCATGCAGTCAGTATCCCTAACCAGTTGAATGGACTAGGTAAGTGAAAGAAATTAAGAAAGTAATGAGCACCATCTAGTGGCCAAAATTTTTATTTTCCCTCACAATATTTTATCCTTACCTTATGTTACCAATGAGTTTGTTTAAACTTACTGCCTGTCTCCCCTCCTTACTGGAATATAAGGTCCAGCGGGAAGGGTCTTTAACTTTTTTGTTCATTACAGCATCAGTAGAGTCTAGAAAGATTGCCAGGCACATATACATACAATAAATTTTTTCTAATGAATGAACATCTTGTATACACTTTATTATCCCAACTCCATTCCAAATGCTTCTCCCTGAAAGTTTACCATTTAATTATTCAACATCATATTATTTCATGAGTTTTATAATTATTTATATTCTTGTACTATTTGTAATAGAATCTTCTCCCTCTACTCCCCACAAACGATTTCATTAATATCCCTTCCTTAAAGACTTAGAGAAGCTGGTGTTGATTTATATGCCTAACATTGCTCTAGGGAACTAACTGGCATGAAGCATGTGGCACTAACTTTGGACCAGCATTGTGAACAGTGCTGGAATAAATATGGGGGTGAACACATCCCCTTGATATACTGATTTCCTTTCTTTTGCGTATATACCCACTAGTGGGATTCCTGGATGATATGGCGGTTGTTTTTAGGTTTTGGTGGTGGTGGTTGTTTTTTCAGGAACCTCCAAACTATTCTCCATAGTAGTTGTACTAATTTACATTCTTACCAACAATGTATGAGGCTTTTCTTTTCTCCACATTCTCGCCAGCATTTGTTATTGTCTGCCTTTTGGATGTAAGCCATTTTAACTGGGGTGAGAGAATATCTCATTGTAATTTTGATGTGTAATTTGCATGTTTTGAACCCACCTTGCATCCCAGAAAGAAAGCCTGTTGATTATGTTGGATTAGCTTTTTGCTGTGCTGCTGGATTTGATTTGTTAGAATTTTGCTGCGGATTTTTGTGTCTATATTCATCAGGGATGTTGACCTGATGTTTTCTTTTTTTGCTGTGTTTCTGCCTGGTTTTGACATCAGATTGATGCTGACCTCATGAGTTAGTAAGGAGTCCCTCCTCCTTGATTTTTCTGGAATAATTTCAGTAGGATTATTGATAGCTCTCCTTTATACATCTGGTAGAATTCAGCTGTGAATCCCTCTGGTCCACAGGTTTTTCTGGTTGGTAGGCTTTTTATTACCGATTCAATTTGGAGCCCATTATTGGTCTGTTCAGGATTTCAATTTCTTCCTGGATCATTCTTGGGAGGTTATGTTTCTGGGAATGTACCCATTTCTCCTAGGTTTTCTAGTTCGTGCGCATAGAGTTCATAATAGTGTCCACTTTTTGGTTTTTTTTCTGTAAGATTAATAGTAATGTCACATTTGACATTTCTGATTGTGTTTATTTGGATCTTCTTTTTCCTTATTAATCTAACAGTCTTTCAATCTTATTTATTTTTCCAAAGAAACAAGCTTTGGTTTTATTGATCTTTTGTACAGATTTTGCATCTCAATTTCATTCAGTTCAGCTCAATTTTGGTCATTTATCTTTTGTTAGCTTTGGAGTTGGTTTGCTCTTATTTTTCTAGTTCCTCTAAGTTTGATGGTAGGTTGTTCATTGAGATCTTTCTAACTTCTTGATGTATATGTTTGGCACTATAAACTTTCTTCTTACCCCTGCTTTAACTGTGTTCCCAGACATTCTGATATGTTGTATCTTAGTTTTCACTGGTTTGAAAGACTTTTTTGACTTCCACCTTAATTTCATTGTTTACTGAAATGTCATCCAGGAACAGATTGTTTAATTTCCATGTAATTATATGGTTTTGAGAGATCTTCACAGTATTTCTATTTTTATTGTACTGTAGTCCTAGAGTGTGGCTGGTACTATTTCAGTTTTTTTCTATTTGTTGAGAATTGCACTATGGTTGAGCATGTGGTGGACCTTAGAGTAAGTGCTGTGTACAGATGACAGGAATGTATATTCTGTTGCCAAACATATTTGTAAAGTCAAAATTCATTTTCCCTTTTTAAAACTTCTTGGAAGACTGTAAAGACTATCTGATTCAAATCACAAATTCTAACAGTTAAGTTGCTATCAATCCAGCCAAACGTGTATGTGGATAGACAGTCAACAGATAAATAGACACGTATTTACCCTGATCAGCCTTTCTATAGGTTAAACTTACAACTTCTATTATGGTTTTAAAAATATTTGAACTAATGTTTGTATAGCTATTATTATCTGGCTAGGAAGCTTTAGTTGACTATAATATTCTAATATACACACATAAATATTGCATTTAAAGTAGATACATGAGACTGAAAACTGAGCATAATTCTCTATAGCAGGATTATAAGGTGGAAAATGCTTTAGAAACTTACAAACCCACAAGTTAGTTGTCCTAGAGCAGGTCCTTCTTAGTACCACTGTAGGGTTATAAATGTAGTCTTGCCTCATTGTCTCTTAATACCTAGAAGTCGCAGATACCTCTTCAGCAGCATTTCCAGATATTGAGGCATTGCTGATATTTTCCACCTTGTTTTCCTCCCTCACTCCTCTACTGTTACCTGGAAGACTCTTGTGAAAGTAAAGTGGAACGCCTTTGGGAATCAAACTAGAATAGTCAGTAAACAATTACAGGCAAACTGTGACTACATTTCAGGAAAGAAATGTAAGAGTTGAACAAAATTGAAGTTGATTTCTTTATTTGCAAATATAGATAGTTGGTCCCAAGCTGGGGTGGTGGCTCCATGATGTCAGGGCTAAGGATCCTCCTCTCTGATTCTATTGCACTAGATCATCTTGAACTTGTAAATCCCATATGGTGGTCCAAGAGGACTGCAGTCATCTTAGACCTGCACCCTGCACCCAAACTAGCAGGGAAAATGCAAACCAAGGGAATAATAAGGGCCTATCACTCCTTTAAGACATTTCATGGCAGCTGCACATACACCTTCCGCTTATATGCCATTGGCCACGATTTGGTCATACAGCCAACCCAGCCATAACAGAGGGTGGAAATGCAGTCTTTATACCATGTGCCATGTACTTTGCTGAAACTTGGGGATTCTATTACTACAGATTTTAAAAGGGATTGTGACTGAAAAAAAAGTTTGTTTGTTTTTTAAATAGAATAGAATATCAAATACTGAGGGATAAATAGCAGCCCACCCTAAAGTTCCTCTTTCCCTTTTTTGTAAGGACCAGTGTTATAGTACTTACTAAGGACTGAGCACTGTCCTAAGTATTGTTTGTTTTGGTTTGGTTGTTTGATTGATTCATTAAATAGTGTAATCCTTACAATAACACTCTGAGTAAGGTTCTATTATTCACATTTTACAATTGAGGAAATTGAAGCACAGAAAAATGAAATAACTTGCTCAAGGTAACACAGCTAGAAAATTGCAGAGGTGGAATTTGAACCAGGCAATTTGGCTTATCCATTATACTATACCACCTTCTCTCTGCTATATTTCAAAATATTTTTAGTTCTTTAGATGAAGCAAGGGAAAAGGCCTAATCTACATATTTTTTTTTATTCAGAAAACAAATGAACAGAAGATATAAGTATAATATACCTATTAGCTAGTAATTTCAAGGACTCGCTTACAGGGCCTTTTTCTACATTCTGGGCCTTTTCGACACCTATTTTCCTTTCCAGAAACATTTTTGCAGGCTGCTTCCTTATCATTCAATTCTGAGTTCTAATGTCACCTCCTAAAAAAAAGCCTTCCTGACCCTCCTATTTAAATCTGCAGCTATCTCCACCCATCATTGCTTCTTTCGTAGCACTTATCACCCTCTAAAATCATTTTTCATACTTACTTGTCTATTGCTTGTCTCTCCCTACCAGAATGTAAGGTAGAGACACAGGTTTTCTCTACCTCATTCTTACTTCCCAGTTGCCTCAGCATCTATGTTTGCAATTAATATTTGGTAAATATGAGAAAAAGAAAAATAGCCCTTGGTGTCAGGAACGGAACTGACACTTAACCTTAGCGTTGTTAGGAATTGACTGTGGGGTTGCCCTGTGAAAACATAATCTCACAACACACTAACATCATACCAGGTCATTCTGTAATCATGATGAAGTGAGATTACAAACAAGATCGCAGTATTTTTGCCTAACCACAGATAAAAACAAGGTCACAGCGCAAACTACAAAAATATCAAACTATCCTCCTCCCCCAGCTATGATTGTTGCTTCTTTACCAATTACAGCTTTAACCTAGCACTTTCCCTCCCTCCTTTTAGGTAAGAGGTAGTAAGATTCCCAATCGCGGCAGACTCCACAGCTAATGGGCGCCCTGAGTCACACTCCATAGCCAATCCCAGGCCACATCCAGGCTTGCCCCCACCTGTACACAATAATTTCTCCCTGCACCCAATCGTCTTCCGAACCTCCCTGAAGAGTATATGCTTTTAATCAAAGATTACTTTTGTTTCTTTTTTTTAGAACAGAGTAGCAATGCTAACGGCTCTCCCACTCCCTCTAGCCTCTCATCCTCTTAAAATGGAAGACAATCTAAACATAAAACTCAATTTTTAACAAAAACTCTCCTTTCGCTGACACTGCCCTCCCCAAAGAAGTCACCAGTGGTTTCCTTCCTTGTTTTCCTAGAGATTTTTCTTTTCCGCTTTTTAACCCCTCACCCCCATCTCAAATGACAAATACATCCGGGAACTCCTTTTCACACTCTCTCTAGCCTTGCCCTGTCTTAGGCGCCTTGCAAAGTTATTCTAACCCGACCCCACCACTTGTACAAGCTCAGCGGCCCCATAGCTTGCTCATTCTTGCACACCAGTCCACGTCCCATAACCTGCCCCAACCCAATCAGCCGCTTGCATCCGATTTGAGCCCTGGACCTAAATTCCACGTCTATTTGCAAGTCCCGCCCGCCTAACAGCAGTCCTTCACCGCCGCCTGCCAGAACCAGCGCGTGATCCAGGAGGACTCCACAGCCAATGCGCACCTTGAGACCGCACCCACAGCCAATCCCCGGCCACGTCCAGACCCGCCTCCATCCTGTCCCCTTCCTCCCTAAGGCCAACCCGCGGCCCACCCCTCTCCCTGCTCCATTTCCATCCAGTCCGCGATCGCGGCGGGCCTCACAGCCTAGGCGCGCCTTGAGTCACACTCCACAGCCAATCCCGTGCCACATCAGTCTCGCCCCCCCCCCCACCCCGCCCCCTTGTTTCCACCAGCCCGGGATTCCCAAAATCCCGCTCCTCCCCTCCCCCCAAAAAACACCCCTCAACCAGTCTCATCCAGTCCAAAAATCCCGGCCGACCCCTTCACCAAAGCGCGCACTGAGCGCAAACCTCAGAGTCAATCCCTGTCCCGGCTCCGCCCCCCGCGTCCGAACCCCGCCCAGCCGGGCCCTCAAGCCCAGGCGGGACTCGAGCCTGGAGTGGCGAGATTCTCGCGCCTGGTAGGTGAGTAGGGCGGGCGCTTCCGTGCGAACTGACGAGGGCCGTCCCGGCGTGCGGGGCTCGGGGACGGAGGCCGGACTGCTCTTCCGGAGCCCCGCCGGAGGGGCCTGCGGGGGCGACTGCGGGGAGTCGGCCCTGGATTAATAGTTTGAGGGAAAGGCGCCGAGGTGGCTGGCCTCCAATGGGAAGCCCCGAGACCCCGGCCACCGTCTTGCCGCTTTTACTCTTTAGTTCGCTGTTTGGGATTTTAGAAGGCAGTCTGAGAGGGTGACTTCCAGACTTTTAATTTAAAAATCCAAAAGGAAACCAAGGCTGACAGGCTGCCTCATAAATGAAGCTTAGCGGAATCCAACATTTGTAGGTAAAAGAGAAAAGTAGTCAAGTCTGGGCCGGGCGCGGTGGCTCAAGCCTGTAATCCCAGCACTTTGGGAGGCCGAGGCGGGTGGATCACAAGGTCAAGAGATCGAGACCATCCTGGTCAACAAGGTGAAACCCCGTCTCTACTAAAAATATAAAAAATTAGCTGGGCCTGGTGGCGCTTGCCAGTAATCCCAGCTACTCGGGAGGCTGAGGCAGGAAGAATTGCCTGAACCCAGAAGGCGGAGGTTGCGGTGAGCCGAGATCGCGCCATTGCACTCCAACCTGGGTAACAAGAGCGAAACTCCATCTCAAAAAAAAAAAAAAAGAAAGAAAGAAAAGAAAAGTAGTCAAGTCTGTTGCTTTTGGAGTCGGGTGGCGCAGAAATCCTCCGCTCCTCCCACGCGCGTGGCTCCTCGGCGTCCACCTGGACTAGGGCTATAGGTCAGCCCTTAGCAAGTCTGACCTCGGGTACTAAAACCGAATTCCTGCTGCACCCAGGCAGCCGCAATGCTCCCCTCTGGAGAAGTTTAGTTACACGAATCCCATTTCACAGAACAGCTTTCCAGCAGTTTCAGGCTTGTGTCCTTAAATCATGTGCTGAACAACTTTGGCTAATTCTTTTCGCTCTTGTGGCTTTGAAGCCCATTCTTCCACTGTACTCCCCCATCCAGTACTTTGTTCACCGCCTAGATGCCCTATGTTGTATCAGTGAAACTTATAAACATTCTAGAAGCAACCTAACAAGTTAGAATTATGAAAGGAAAATCACCTTTCCCGTGGTTGGACTCGTAACAGTGTGGGCGGTGCATTATTAGCTGTAGCTCTTTCTGCCTCGTGTTAATCTTCCTTGAACTTGCAGTTAACCCAGATGTTCTGGGCTTTGTCAAATTAAATCTCTTCCTCTCCTCCCCATGTGTAAAGTAAAATTGGATAATTTGGATTTAAGGCTAGCGCTTTAAGCTTCTTCAGATTTATTTTGACTGCCTTGTCTGCCTTTTAGCTTTGTATTCGGCCCCCAAAATTCACCAGCTTTCTCAGCTTCAGGCCACCCCAAATCTGCTAAGCATACCTTCTGAATCTTCATTTAAACAGTCTAACTAATTGATAATAAATGGACAATGTAATTTCTATTGATCGTACGTTTTTGAATATGGCCTTTATGCATAATGTGCTATAATTAGATTACGTAGATCATCCTGATTCATAAGTAGCCTGGTTTTCTTCACAGAAATTGTTTTTAGGGAGAAACTAGAAAAATACAGTGAAAGTATTGTTTAGAATTAACAGCGATATACCTTTTTATTTTCTCCAACTTTTCTATGACATCTAAATTTAATATATTTATCTCATTTAGTGAAACTGTATATGTATGTGTATATATATATATATGCAGTGTTGATTGCATTAGAAAATGCTGCTCAAAATGTGTTTACTTAATAAAATGCAGATGAAAAAAATAGTTTGATTCAAAGGTTCTGAATCTACATTTGTCAGCCTGCTTAGATTTCTTGAGAGCCATTTTTTCACCTGTGTTTCACCTATATTCCCACAATGCGATTACCTAGTGAGAGAGTCATAGGTGAGATGGAAAGAGCGCCTAAGTCTAGGTCTTGGAATTCCATCATTCAGTGGCGGATTGAGGGAGAGGTAGGAGGGAAATGAGGGGGATATGGTGTTTCTCAGGGGAGAGAGGGCTTGCCCACTGGTATCTAAAGCTGCAGAGAGCTCTAGGAAAGTGAGAATTGCAAAATGTCCACTGGATTTAACAATATGAAGGTCAAAACTGACTTTAGCAAGAGTTTCCACTATGGAGTAATGGGTATAAAAGTCAGATTGCACTGGGTTGAGGAGCATAGATTTAGGAATAGGAGACAGCTAGTAAAATGAGCAACAGGGAGATGGTAGAGTCAAGAGTTTTACTTTTTGTGTTTTTTGTTTGCTTCTTTGTTTTTATGTTCTTTAACTGGGAGAGACTTAAACAAGGCAAGTTTAATATACAGGAGAAAAGAGGTAATAATCAGTGGAGCAAGGTCTCTGTAGAGGGAATGAGATCTAAGTCGTGGAGAAGAGACTGCTTTTGAAGGTGGGTAATTTCCTTTTTTATAATGGGAAGGAAGAAACAAGGATTTTTTAGCTTTGGGAAAGTCGAGAGCGCAATCTGCTTGGACTGAGGAGGAAGGTAGAGGGATTTAGTTTAAAGGAGTGTGGGAAAAAATTTAAAGAATCATTTTGGATTATGGGTGACAAGTATTGCCTACAAAATAAAGTAGAAGTATGGCAGAGTTTTGGGGGTCAATTTGAGATTGATAACCACAAATCTGTGGTGAAACCAATATCCCGTGGGACTTTCTCCAGGAGTCCACAGCTGCAGGGGCCATAGGAAAAGCAGGCACTGTAGTCAGGTTCATCCAGGAATAGGGTTTTACAGACAAGTGAAAAGACAGGCAAGAATGGTTAAGGCATTGTCAAGAGCATTACTGAAGTGGTGGAACTGTCTACACTGGGAAATAAAGGAAGACAGGGGCTGATTGGAAAAAGTAGGGGCAGCCTCTTGTAGATGTTGATGATAATTAAGATACTGATAGTTACTGATAGTAAGCAAATTGAAAGGATAGGGCTGGTCATAGTGGCTCACGCCTATAATCCCAGCACTTTTGGAGGTGGAGGTGGGCAGATTGCTTGAGGCCAGGAGTTTGAGACCAGTCTGGCCTACATGGTGAAACCCTGTCTACTAAAAATACACAAACTCTCAACTGTGTCTTTTGGGACAGCTCCACCATAATCAGCAAATTCCATTGTATCTTTATGTCCTTAGAGGGTTCCCTCTACCTGCTCGCTTTAACTCAAACCTTATTTATTCGCCTATTGTGAAAAATAGAGAAACCAAGGTCCAGCAAAAGTTCGTAACTTGACCTCAGAGAGAAACTTTTTTTTAAGATTGAATTCTGCTTTAATCTCTTAATGTAGTGAATAACATTAATAGGTTTCTTATATAAATCCAACCCCCCCTTGGTCATGATGTATTATCCTCCTTGTATACTACTGGATTTGATTTGTTAGCATTTTATGTAGAAGTTCTATTGAGTTTCTTATTAACTACATGTTCTAATTTTTCTTTACTATTGCTCTTACAGGGTTGGGGTTTATTTTATTTTATTTTCATGCAGTCAAAGAAAGCTGAATTTAAATCTGGGCCCCATTTACTAAATATATGATACTAGATATATTACTTTCCTGGGACTGCTATAACCATGTTCTACAACCTGGGTGGCTTAAAACAACATAATTCTATTTTCTCACAGTTGTGGTGGCTTAAAGTTTACAATCGAGATGTCAGCAAGGCCACGCTTTTTCTGAAATCTATTGGGGAATCCTTCCTTGCCTCTTAGCTTCTGGTGGTTTGTTGGCCATCTTAGGCTTGTAGCTGCATAACTCCAATCTCTTCCTTCTTCATCACACATTGTTCTTCCTTTGTGTCTTTGTCTGTATGTGGCTCTTTTTTTTTTTTTTTTGAAGCAGTGTCTCACTCTGTCACCCCAGCTGGAGTGCAGTGGCGCCATCTCAGCTCACTGCAACCTCCACCTCCTGGGTTCAAGCGATTCTCCTGCCTCAGCCTCCCAAGCAGCTCGGACTACAGGGGCATACCGGCACACCTGGCTAATTTGTGTATTTTCAGTAGAGATGAGGTTTCACCATGCTGGCCAGGCTGGTCTTGAACTCCCGACCTCATGATCCACTGGCCTTAGCCTCCCAAGGTGCTGGGATTATAGGCGTGAGCCACCACACCCCACCATGGCTCTCTTCTTATAAGGACCCCAATCATTGGATCAGCAACCCACCCCACCCCAGTATAACAGTATGATCTCACCCTAATTTTATCTGCAACAACCCTACTTTGAAATAAAGTCACACTCTGAGATAGTGGGGGTTGGCACTTCCTCTTTGGCTCTCTTGGGTGGGGGAAATACAGTTTAACCCATAACACTAGTAAACTCATTTCTCCACACCCTGCTGTCTCAGGTTTTATCTGTTACAATTTTATCACAGTGTTGTCAGCTATGACTACACTCTCAGGGGAACCAGAAAGAGGACAGGTGATGGAATTAGGGATATCTGATGAAAAGGGAAAATAATGATTGAAAGTAGAAAAAATGTAGGAGAAAAACATATTTTAAATTAAGTACCAACTAAGGCAGCACCTCACTGCATGGTTCAGCATCACCTCAGGCACCGCTCTGAACAGGTGTGCTCTAGGTTGCTTTCAACACCTAACCTTGACATGGAGTTTCATGCTTGCTTCTCACCTCTTCTTTGACCTGTAAATCATCCTAAATTTCTAAAGTCCTCAGTTCCAGTGTAACAAATAACTCTAGTTCTGTGCACACCTTTTTTTTTTATTATTTTTTTATTTTTTATTGCATTTTAGGTTTTGGGGTACATGTGCAGAGCATGCAATACAGTTACATAGGTACACACATGGCAGTGTGTTTTGTTTGCTTTCTCCCCTTCACCCACATTTGGTATTTCTCCCCAGGCAATCCCTCCCCACCTCCCCCTCCCACTGGCCCTCCCCTTTTCCCCCCAGTAGGCCCCAGTGTTTAGTACTCCCCTCTCTGTGTCCATGTGTTCTCATTTTTCA